AGAGGGGGTGTCCTGCCATGGGAACTTAATGGGTTCGTTTCGGCACTCGGGACTAGATCACCTAGCTTTCCGATTTGTGAATGAATATTTGAGAGAAGAGGGGGGGGGGGGGCCGGGGGTGAATTTTATATCCTTAACGAGTTTCATCATCGGCAGTCTTCAGGTTGTCAATAACTTGCTCGCGTGGGTGGTCGATTATTGCAGTGGTTGGAGGAGGCGGGCAAGGCTTAGCTACCATCTGCCATGGTTTTGTTCTACACTTTACCAAGGGTGGGTTCGGGTTCATTCAGCGATGATTCAAGATTACTCAGTCTGAATTCCGTCGGCGAAACTAATACGAGAGAAACAGGAACTTTCTTATTTTGAATATTTCATTCAGTTGATAACATATCAATCTCGATAAAGTACATGGTAGGAAAAAGAAATCAAAGCATCATTAAACTTGCTTGGTATCAAACAAGAGCAACAGTGGCAACAAAGCAAGCGCACGTAGGCAGGCATAGCAACAGGTCATAACAGCATTATTAGGTGTGAAAGCACAAATGAAGGGATCGAGAGAAAAAGCGAGTTCTTCAACTTTGACCCAAGTTCTCCTCTTCTTTTTATGTCTTTTGCGTCTCTAAATGTCTCTCTTGCTGGATCAACTTAGAAACCACGCTGAGTACCGAGGGTACCACGGTTGTCCAAGTCAGAGTCCACGCGGGGATCCATCTTGTTGGCCATGTCGGAGCGGTGGGGGCCGGCGGTGGCTCCGGTGTTGTAGCTGCTGCTGGCCATACCCTGGTGACGGGCACGGTTGTCAAGGTCAGAGTCGACGCGGGGGTCGGCCTTGTTCATCATGTTGGAGCTGTGAGGGCCGGCGTTGGTGCTGCTGCCGCCGAAGCCGGTGGTGGTGGTGGAGGTGGTCGGGCCGGCACCGTAGCCTGCGGCACCGGTGGAAGAACCATAGGCACCGGAATCGGTGGGGGCTCCGCCGTAGCCGCCAGTAGTGCTGCTGCCGAAGCCAGCGCCAGTAGAGGTGGAGTGGTGAGCGGCACGGTTGTCACGGTCTGAGTCGACGCGGGGGTCCATCTTGTTGGCCATGCTGGAAGAGTGAGGGCCCTGGGCGCCGCCGAGAGCTTCGTGGCGAGCACGGTTGTCGCGGTCAGAGTCGACACGGGGGTCGGCCTTGTTCATCATGTTGGAGCTGTGAGGACCAGCGTTGGTGCTGCCGCTGTAACCACCAGCAGTGGTGCTGCCGCCGTAACCAGTGCCAGTAGTGCTGCTGCCGAAGCCAGCGCCAGTAGAGGTGGAGTGGTGAGCGGCACGGTTGTCACGGTCCGAGTCGACGCGGGGGTCCATCTTGTTGGCCATGCTGGAGGAGTGAGGGCCCTGAGTGCCGCCGATAGCTTCGTGACGAGCACGGTTGTCACGGTCAGAGTCGACACGGGGGTCGGCCTTGTTAGCCATGTTGGAGCTGTGAGGACCAGCGTTGGTGCTGCCGCCGTAGCCACCAGCAGTGGTGCTGCCACCGTAGCCAGCTCCGGTGGTAGTGGAAGTAGGGTGAGCGCGGTGGTCACGGTCAGAGTCGACGCGAGGATCGGCCTTGTTAGCCATGTTGGACTCGTGAGGGCCCTGGGCACCACCCATGGCTTCGTGGCGAGCACGGTTATCTTGAGAATGGTATGTTAGCAGGAAGTCTTTGCCGGGGTGGTGTTGCTGTGTACTTACCAGCATCACTGTCCACGCGGGGGTCCAGCTTGTTGGCCATCTTGGAGTTGTGAGGCCCGTGGTTGTCGGAGGCAGTGTTCTCGGTCTTGTTCTCGTGGTGGTGGCCGGTGACCACGTCCTTAACCTTGTGGATGATGTTCGACATGATGAGTGATTTCAATTGATAGATGGAGAGAAGTAATGTAGAAGAGTGTGGATAGTGTGCGTTTGGTTGAAGCTTTGGTAGTAAGTGTTGATTGTGATAGTTGGATAGATGAAGATGTTCTGGAGATGGATTGGAGCTGAATTTGGGAGGATTATATAGCTTGTTGCCTGGGGGGAGAAATGAGGTGGACAGGACATATGACGTAAGGCTACGTAGGCTGGGAGTCAAACGGGCCGTTGGTGAATACCACGCACCACCTTTACGAATTGAGCCTTGGTACAACTGTTTGTTTGACTCGTGAATTCACCAGAGGCCGGCGACGACATGACGTCGTGATGTGCTAATCGATGGTCAGCCCTAGATCGGCAGGTTCTGGTTTTGCATGTCTATCATTCCGTCCAGAATTAAACACTCCAGGCAAGCCTCGACCCGCTGCGGGAACGGGGGGGGGGACTCGGGAGTCTGGAGCAATTACGTGTGGGGCAGGGACAGCTTAAACTGGGTAGGGTGCGTAGGAGAAATCAGTTTAGCATAGGAAGGGACCAAAGGGACCAAAGGGACCAAAGGGACCAAAGGGACCAAAGGGTCAATTCTCACTACGTATGAGTATGAGTACGAGTATAGTACTGTACTTAGTAAGGCTGGCTGGCCCTCAAAAAGCCGGTTGCGCATTGCCGATCATGACTTCAGCCCAGCCGGCCCTTGATGTCGGCGGCGTAATCAGTAAGCCTGGTCATTGGTCCGAGTTGTCTGGCATTTGCGGGGGACAGCCTTGGATTGGCTGCTGCTGCGGGAAGCTGCTCCACTGCAGGCACCTCATTGCTGGCACCTTCCCCGATCCGTACAAGTTCCATCTGGGAATCTCAACCAGGCAAAGCGTCTTGAGCTTAGTCATTCCCTTCCGCAACGGCCACTCTCCGAGCTTCATCATGGAACCATAGGTCATCCTGAAGATCTTCATCAAACCAAAACCACAAGCCAATTCTAATTATATCCCTTTGCCATACTTGTCGATCATGAATTCATTTCTTACCGCCATCCATAATCATCGACTCGCCTGCTTACATCACTGACTGTCCTGTGCCAGCGGAAAGAAATGCCTTCCAGCACATGCCACCTTCTCTGGCTGGCAGCATGATGCAAGACTACCCAGCTGACTCAGGACAATGACGAAAAACCCATCGCAGGGGCTGAGCTGTGGACTCACTGGGAATTGTGTCTTCTACAAGCGTTTGGAATTGACAGCATCGTACCTGGTCTCCTTATGCGCAGTAGTCCTGAATGATTTTGTCTGGTATATGGCATGGCTAGGGAGTCCGGTGCGGAGACTCTATCCTTTGCTACTAAGTACATAGTATGTACACATACTTGCTCTTTCGGCTGTCAAACCTTGATGCATGCTGCTAAGGACAGTATCAGCGGCTAGACCCACTCGAGATCATGCATACAACTGCCCCAGTTCAATTGCCGATGTTGTTCTAATTGTGCAAGATGTTCAAGTCAAATGCGAAACGGATGGTTTGTAGAAACAACTTCTCAACCTATTAGTCTCAACTGAGATTATTGAGAGAATGTCCGATCATCCCAGCCGAGAAGACAATATCCAACAAACGCTGCTATTTGACTAACTCCGAGGTTGTAGTTGTATAGTTGTATATGCTCAACCTAGACACATATCCCCCCAATCCAGAGACCCCAAGAAAGCATAGAGAGTTTGCCAATGACAAACTCACAGTAGACCGATAACGGCAGATTTTTACTGTTCTTATCCCACTCAGAGCTGCAGGAACGAAGGCTCTTTAAAAGACTTATATCAAATGATGCTTTCAAGCCTCCGGCTCGTCACGTCAATGCCCTACAGACTCCCTTCAATCCTGCCTTGGCTCTCTTCCTTCGCTTTTCTCTTCCTTCCTTCGTCTTTTCTTCTTTGTGTTCGCGCGTCTTCAACCATAAGTGTTTCATAAAGTCCACTCACCGCATCTTGGGATGCCTCGACAAACGCTTTCTGAAGTATGTATCGCAAGACAACACATGAAACATCCAACGCTGAAAGCCTGAACATTGAACATCAATCAGGCGAATGACTTTGAAACAAGTGAGACCTTGTTCAACGCTCATCTCAAGCTCGCTCCCAGCCACCAGCACGACAGGAGAGAGACATGCGTCGTCAGTAGTGACATGGCTCCCTAGGACGTCCATAACACGATGGCGATAGGTATACTCAGATCAGCCTAGACAAGGATCTAGCTCGAAAACGTGATTAGTACTTCCTTAGCCAAACAGAACCGTGAAGTCTGGTGTGCTTGTTGCTTCCTGCGATCTTCTGTCTCTCGACCCCCGCACAATCCCAAACCGATCAGGGCCAACGGAAGTCAGGGTCCAGTTTGTATGCCTTCTCAGTATTGTCATCCAGAGAGTCTCGCAAAACAGCCTGGTCTCGGATTGCTAGCAGTGTGGTATCCAGCCTTTCGAGCATTGTCTCGGTTCAAGCCAGCCAACGTACTCGTTACTATCGTTCAAACAAGCAGCAAAACGAAACATACAGGTATGCAAGTAGTCCCAGTCTTCAGTTACTCCGATGAAAGTCTCTGACCATGGTTCAACTTCTAGAAGCGGCGCCAAGGGGGTAGTGGAGGTAATCCATGCGCTGGATGAGACACACTGGTGCTTTAAAACTACCCAGAGTCCCTCGTTTGGGGCGGGGTGGAGGAGCCACGACATGGGATGATTACTTTCAGTGACCTCGCCAAGTCAGCCACATTGCGCATGGAGAAGAGGAACAACGAAATATCCGTTTGCTTTCGTCCGGATGTCATCATGATCGGGCGGTGATGGCTGGGTATCAAACGCGCCGGGCCTAATGTCTCGGATGCAGCAACAAACGGCCCTTACGATACTTCTGCACGGTCAGCAAGCCATGCCAGCACTAGGATTGCGCCAGACAACCACCATGCAAAGGAACACACTTACCGAAGGCCAGTCCAGGCCGTATCCGGGCATCCCCCATGGTTTCTTTCCTCCAAGAATACCAAGGTATAAAGCCCCGGATGTTTTCCCGGTCCTGCATGATTCTCAAGATCATCATCGCCTGCAACCATGGTTACATCCTCATTCAAACTGTACCTTTCTGTTCGAGATTATCATCATGAGCGTGGAACATCTGGGTGACATGACTGAGCATGTGCTTGGGTGTCTTCAAGATATCCCTGACATCAAGGATTATAGACTAGCCATCATTGGACATCTGGCCATTGGTCGTCAACGTCCTGGTTTCGAATCATTCATTGACCCTCTCCTTAGGACAATGCAGAATGATGATGTTAGTGCAAACCCCCATGACAGCTGCCACTGATTCGCGGCCGCCCATTACTGACAGCTTTCGCGCAGCGGTACGCAGTGGAAATCCTCTTCGAGCAATGGGAGGATGATGACAACCACGATCTTCGAGACGTGGACTGGTGGTTCAAGAGGCAGTTGGTCCAGTTACGGCCCACCCAGTTGCGTATTGAGAACGGCCAGTTGAGATACCACCACCATACACAAATCAAGTTTCATTTCCTCGAAAAGCCTCGTCCACGGTCACGGACGAAATACTACCTCCACGCTCCGCTAGTAAGACATATAATCGGAGAAATGCGCCACTTATACGATATTATCGATGTGGACATGCTTCCATATGCACCAACAGAAACTTCTCTGGCGATCATGGTCGCCCGGTATACGAGTACGAAGGGGTGTTTGCTCCCGGGAGAGCGTAGCCGGGCTATCGCGAAGGAGGTCGAGGCTCTTTTGGATGCTCTCACATCACATAGCAGAACTGCGCAGCAGGGTGGTGTGCGGGTACGTTGCGCAGATCAACTTCGATGGACGACCTACCACAAGAGGTCTTTATTCTCCTGTGTCGGTAAGCTTCAAGAGCTTCTGAGCTGGAGAGGCCCCGAGGGCAGAAAAGAGCTGAAGTGGAAATTGAACATTGATCGAGAACGATTGGGCCAGCTGTGGGCCTCCCCACGCAGAGAGACTTCGAATATGTGATCAGAGATCCCTTGTCGGTTGCGTGAGAATGATCAAAGTCCGCGAATAATTTTGGGTGTGG